ACTGTCCCTTTAAGTCTGACTTTGATGAACCTCTCTGAACCTTTTACAAAAACGTTCTGCAGACTGATGTGTGGAGGTTTGACCACTCCAAAGGTGCTTTTCAAACTTGCAGTAAGAATCGTTGGGGACCTCCCGTATGCGGAGGAACCATGAATCCTGCTTTCTAAAAGACTAGTTGGAAGAACATCTGGACATCAGACGGTGAGCTGAAGCCAAAGCAAAACTGGGTTTTGCAGTTAAAAGATCCCAAACATTTACATCCACATCTGAGGGGCCCAAAGGCAACAAGATAGATGTTTCAGCGTCCCTCATTCCAGGGCCGGTCATAAACCCTTACTGACCTCAGAACGCTTTCACTTCACACACACCCACACACACACACACACACACACACACACACACCCTGCGCTGCGGCAGCATTAAACAGGCTCTGGAGAGACGAGTGTGTTTGTTCTGCAAGACGGTGACATCAGAAATGAAGTCATTAAGGTATCATGAAGTACATCTTCCTTCATTGGCGCACGGAGACCATTCTGTGTGACTGCAGCTATTCATAGGTGGATTATAAACACAATACGGGGATTACAGGACTGCATTACAAGGTTAGAGGGACGCATGCAGGAGCTCTGGTGTCATCTCGGATGTCACAGAGCTCCCTCCCCTTCTCGGGTGGTTTGGTTCATCCCGGGCCGTCATGGTTCTGATCGTTCATCGTCTGCTTAAAGCCGTCTCAGGCACTAAAACTCCCCGCTTGGACAAAATCCCAGTTGCTGTTTCGGCTATTTTTTTTCCCCAAGCAGCAGGAAAGCCTCACTCTTCGCCGTGACTCCTCATGTTCACCGTTTCACGACGAGAGGCAGCTCCTTTCCCAGATACCGCGAACTCAGACTTTTATGGGAATTCCTCACACACTCCATATGGTCTGACGCGGCGCTTCATGAAATGTAGAGGAAGTTCAGCGCTGGAGAGAGGACTTTGTGTAAAAATAGCACCGCGGTAGCAGCAGTTGCATTAACCGTAAAAGTAAGAAAATTGAAATTACAAAGAAAAATTTGCTTAATGGAAACACTGCAGTTTTTTTTTTTTTTTTTTTTAAAAAGATTTTTGCACCAGGATGAGGTCGTTTGTCAGCCGGATTGACAACCTGAAGTGACTCATTTAATTTCTTACTTAATGGAAACGCAGCAGTTGCAAAATAGTGTTTTTTCGACATTACCAGAATATCAACAAAGACTCGCACACATTTGTAATGGAGACGCACCTTGTGACCGTCAAGCTTTTATTCTCTCAGGGTTTCCCCCAGTATATTATAAGCCTGGCAGGCCACCAGGCTTTACTTGCACCCCCACCAGGCTAAGTGTTGTTTACTGATTTTACGTTTTTGTTATTGTTTGAATGTTTTTAAGTCGGGATTTAGGTATCTTTAATAATGTCTTCCAATAACACATAATTACCTAGTAATATTTTAAAATTTCTGTCAACATTAAAATCTTTTTTGAACTCAAAAAACATGGTAGGTCGCTGGACACTGCCCCATAGCACCCCTAGCGCTGGGCTCACCAGGTTTTCTCTACTTCATGAAATCTACTGATTCTTCATGACTCGTGTCATCTTGCTCTTTTGAGGATGTCATACATTTATGCTCATAGATATTGTGGTTTCCTGTGATTAGCTTCCAGCTTCTTCTTTCGATGATGTAACTGAGACCTGACATGTGGAGCGAGAGGGGAATCCTCCCCAAACACACAATGGGCTTCCCCCTACAGCTAACAAAGGCAAACAATAACAGGCGGCGTATCGCTGCGCACACGGTAACGTTAGAGTTTTGCTTGCTGATCTTTTTGCTTTGTGCTGAATGTGCTGTACATGTTTTTGAAGAGGATGTGCTTTCAAACATAACATCATCTCTCTTATTTGTGGACGTGATTTATTGTGCCTTCGAGGTAAATCCATGGCTGGATTCCTGGACCAGAGCAGAGTCCTGAGCGATACCAGAAATATCCTGGAGCTGTTTCTGGGCTGCACCTTAGGAAATACCTCTGGGTAGCTCAAAGGTTAGGACACCATTCCATGGTCCATATCACTGGATTAGTGTTTCATTGACATATGGGATAAAAACAGAAACCAAATCATGTGAAATTTGTCCATCTGGCTCTCATATAGTCAGCAAATATGGAAAAAAAAAAAAAAAAAAAAAAAAGTTATGTCATGTAAAGCTCTGCAAGGAGAAAGTTTAAGGTTGCTTTCACACCTGTTAGTCCGGTAAACTCAGTTCAACTGAGAGCCAAAATCCCAACATTTTGTCCAACAAACCCAACCTTTTAACCAGCCTGTTCCCCTTCTTGTCCTGTGGAGGCGCTGTACCGAGAACCACTGAAGGAAACTACGTGAAAACCTCTGAAGAAGACACTGAACTAAACCGTAAACATTGTTTTCTTGACGAAAATATCTCCCAGTTGGATATGAATGGACGTGCTGCTGTTTACTGGCAACACAGGAAGAAAGGAGAGAGCACTTCTGCTTTCCACAAGGAAATGAGCGAACTTTGTGAAAGTAGAAAAGATGACGGATTCCTTCTCAAGCACCAAAACATTCTCCGTTGGAAACACGTTTTACTCCCCCGATGTGAAATAAAGACTGGGCCCTCTTTAGAAACCCCATCTCAGAGTTTGTTGGGTCTCCACGTAGCTGTTGTCAGACAACATTTCTTCTGATTTCCCCAGGTTAACCAGGTTACACTGGCTTGAGTCTATTTTTTACACAACATCATTTTCAACAACTTCTTTTGAATACTTTCTTAGTTCTCATCCCATGTACCTGTTTTTTCTTGCAAGATTTCTTTTATATATATATATATATATATATATATATATATATATATATATATATATATATATATATATATATATATATATATATTGTAATGTGTGCCCTGCCTTTGATGTGTATAAATGGTTCCCCCATTACAACCCAGATGTCTCAGCGTTTCAAAGATCATTTTTCCTTCTCAGATTTTCATTTTTCACATCAAAGGACGCTTTTTTTCTTCAGATCAGTCAACCTTCACAGATCTCAAGCTNAATTTGAANTACTTTTTTTTTTTTTGGAATGGCACATATTCCAAACCTCATTCTGGCGGTAAATCAAACGAGCAAAACTGCAATGTTGCATCTCTGATCCTGTTTAACTAGTGGCTTGTATTAGTTTTTACTTCTACCGTTTGGCTTAGTTTTTGTTAATAAAACTGTAATATGCTGTGTGGTTTTGATCATCTGGGATTGTTTTTTCCACCACTATATTTGACTGAATGCATATTTTTTTAATTTTTTTGACATTTTGTGTTTGTTTGGTTTCCTCCTTGAAAGGCTCCTAAAGATGCCCCCCGCCCCCCTTATTTTATTTTATTTTATTTTATTTTATTTATTTTTTTACAGGAACTGTCCCTTTAACCTGTGAAGTAAACACCTCTACAGTTCTCTGTGAAAATTAATATTTAAGAGGTCAAACATGTCAAATGGTTTCAGTGAGAGACTTTATATAAAAAACAGTTTGTTTCTTTTGTGTGTTAAACGTGTATCTTGGTGTGCTACCAAGAAGTTGAGCTGAGGTTTTGTTTTCTTACAAATTTACCGAGACGGCATGGAGAAGAGATTGTTGTTGATCTACATGAATCAGGTTCCCTGTCTTATTTCAGTTTTTAAACTGAGCCTTTGGGCCAGAGGATAAGACAAAACGAACAAATGGAATTACACTGTCTTGAGTTAAACTAAAGCTAAAACCATATTTTAGGAATGAAATATGTTGTTGACGGAATACGTGTCACTATTGATCACCGAACTGTTGCAGTTCACTTCCATCACTGTCAGCGTTCAGGTTTTAATTCAAGGAACTGTTCAAGAGAAAGACGAATAATTCACATCCACGATTTGTGCAGAAGATATAATCCATTACCCTTCTTAGGACGTTGAAAGTTCAGAACGGTGAATAAATTTTCCATGGTGTTGTAGTGCTCTTAAATCATTTAAAGTGACTTCTGAGATGAAAAATTCCAGGATTTAGATAAAAGACTGTTGAGATTTATCCAGTAGAGAGGATTAGGCCAAAGCCTTCTGAATGTCTTTTCCTCTTCTACACACCAAAACAAATACCGTCACGCATAAAGCAACCAATGCATACTTTATGGAAGACAGGAGGAAAGTGGTCTCCCCTGGGAGAAAGAGAAAACATTTTTAAAGCTACAATCAACAAAAAAAAACAAAACAAAACAAATATATATATATATATATATATATGTTGACTTTTTTTTTTACATTCTGAACAATAAACTAAGCATGCGATATTTTATTTAATCAAATAAAGTAGTTTGATTATTTTGTACAAAAGGGATTTGTAAATCATAGTAGATTATCTAGCATAAAAGTCTAGATTAATTTAGGTCAGACTGATTTAAAAACAAAACATTTAGTACAGACTCAGCAATGATTTGGGCCACTCTTTCTTTGAAAGTGAATGGCCAAGGTTTCATAAATTAGTTCAAGTTTAATAAATTAGTTTGACTTTCGAGACCAAAATGTTGTTTTTGACTAAAACACACTGGACAGATGTGGTTCTATCAACTAGAAAATTAAAGACAAAGTAAAAACTAGGACGACTTTAAATTAGCAATATTTTTTCCTAACTAAAAACAAAAAGACTGAATTTGCAAAAACCACCTGAGCTTTTAATTGGGGGCCGTCTTACAGGTGTGGACACGCTATTACCTGGTGTTTGCGAAGCAGCCAATCCAGGAGCGGTATGTGTTTTCCTTGCTGCTGATTGGTTGTACACTCAAAAGCATAGATAAAGGAGACTATTAGCTTCTTTAACAGTTCTAAGATGGTTTTTACTCTGTGTGTGTGTGTGTGTGTGTGTGTGTGTGTGTGTGTGTGTGTGTGTGTGTGTGTGTGTGTGTGTGTCTGGTAAGGTTTCATGTTTGAACTATTAGAATTGGTGGTCATAAATGTCTTTAGGTCTTGAGTATTTATGGGTGCTTGTAGTCCCGAGCCCCCATGGCCACAGAGAGTCAACTGTTTCTTTCTATAGGAAAGATAAATGTGTTTCTCCTGCTCCTAGTTTTGGCTGTTTGGGTTCATTAGTGCTACATTATAGTGAATTTGCTTTGGATTTATGTTACCTTGTGCCTCCGCCATCAGGAGTATTCATTCTACAATTTGAGAACCTTGGATATAAACAGAACCAAAGACAACAGAACAAAGTGACACGACACCAACGACGCGAACCCAAAAGGCAGCGACAGGTACGTTGTTCGCCAACCAAAACTCTGACTCCTGACAAAGTGTAAGGAATCCCTTTAAAAGCTGTTCGGGACCCCGCAGTTAAACATGCTAATGGGCAACAGCAGCTCATATCGACTGCATTTGTTTTCACAGGGAAGGGTTTATTGCCAAACCCGAAAAGTGAAGGTCAACACCTCTAGGTCAGCCACTTTGTCACCTATATGGGTTTTATTCCCATAGCAACTGTAAACACAAATTGAGCACAAGCCGCAGCGTCCTCTTTACTACGTCCTTCCTGGAGCTCAAATCAGAAGGACATTCGACCAAATTTCAGTTTCAGAACAAAAATGTCCCAGATTAGAAAGTAGATACAGTTTGCCCCCATATCCATACCAAAGGCTCTCATAGGACATTAATAATGGAGAACACATGGCTGCTGTCGTCAAGAATTAACAACATACCTGTATGTAATTTAAAAAAAAAAAAAGAAGATCTTGAAGAAGATCTTGGTGTTCTTTTTAATTCCCTTGTCATCTAGGCAATTTTGATCTCTTACACATCATAGATCTTTGAATCCCTGCAGCAATTAAACACATCTGAGGTTCCTTGTCTCCCAGGGAGCCCCGTCACAGCCATCCTAAAGCAAAAAGGGAATGAAAAGTGTGTCTGTACAAGACAACTGCTTGAGGTCTAAGTAGCAGGGGAGAGATTCATGGGGGAGGGCTCCGGGCCAAACGCTCTTGGCAAAGAGAAAAAAGTCCACCCTGCTGATCAGGCAATCCAGCTTGTAGATTTACAAAAGCTGCCTGGCTGCATCACAAAAGAGGCGCTTAGATTATAATTCTTTTTTTTTTCTTCTTTTTTTTTTTTACAAAGACAGAATGTCCCGTTGGCTTCCCTATTGGCATGGATTTCTCCTGGACGCGGTGGAGGATTCGTCCCAGATAAATCCTGCTGAATCTGTCATCGACTCACCGTTAAACTTTCTCCCTCGCAGCCTCCACATCCGCACCACAACACGAGCTCCATGTTCCCAGCAGCACGTTCCCACCGGTGCACTTCCACGCCGTCAGAGCTGGTTTCAAGCGTTCACGTAGTGGCCACAGTTCCTGCAAAAGCACTCGTTACGTCGAGTTGTTTTCAAGCGAGGCGTTTGGCTCTTCCTCTCCGAGGCGCTGGAAGCCCGGATCGGGCCTTTAGCTCAGTCACTCTGCTGGAGAGTCCAGGAAGCCACCGGGGAAAGTTAAAATCAAGTGGTGATGAAGGTCTACTTACAGGATTATCGAGGTACAGGAGATTTATCGAATGTGTCTTTTAGTTCGCTGAAGAACCTCCCGTTCTCGATATTTCTAAATGTCTGACTATTTTGTTGTCAATTTTTATTCAGTTACGGTCCAATTTCGAATCGAGTGGGGTTTTAGTTTGTTCTTTTGTGCTTTTTATGGCGTTTGTTCCCAGTTGGTAATCAGATTCTTTCTCGGCAGACTTCATCGCTGAAGATCTGCAGCTGCCACTCTGTTTCAGCACTTCTGCGACTGGAGCCTGCAGAACCGCTGCTTGACCTGCCACAGCCACTGAGGACAATCAGCAGGTCTCTACGCACTCCAAGACCCTCCATTTGGTGCTTGCCAGGTTAAACAAAACACATTGCAATGTATCATCATCATGACCTTCTGTTTAATACTTTAAGTGCAAAAAGTGAGAATAAAAAATAAAAAAAAATTTGCAAAAGAAGCAACATTTATTCTAAATTCAGGCGAGCCACTGAGCTGTTTCAACATTTCGAATATATTTGTACTAAGATATTTCAAAACAGGGAAATGAGGTAAGATTGATTTTACAATAAAGATGATCATAGGATGTGTACGTCGTTCATGACACGGTGGAATAAATTACGTGGCGTGAATTCAGGCAAAGTCGACGGTTTGATCAAATCAACAAGCACGTCAGGAGTTAGCGGGAGGTTGGTTTCTGAGCTCGCTATCTCCATCACCACTGCCGCCGTCTATAAGCCTCGACTAGGTGTCGCTGTATTAAATAGGGGGTCGTGATGCGTTGCAATGTGCGTTCCTTACAATCATTCCTCTGCTTTAGGCACATAGGTTAGCAGGGAAACGACTGTGGGTGTGGGGAACATTAACGTCTGTCCGGGTGCCCACAGGTGTTTGTGTTGTTGTCAAACTTACTGAAAAGTCTTCCGCAGTAGCAGTAGTTGTTATCGATGATGACATTGAACTCTGTATCCCCTCCTTGTTCTAAAATCCCCATATTTCCTTTTTTGCTTTCTCGCTTTTCTCCGGATCATCCAGGTGTCGAAGGGATTGCATGAACAGTAACAGTCGAAATCCTCGCTCTGTCCGACAGACAGGAGCATGCTGCTAATCACCGCTGGTCAAGCCGCATTATCCTCAGCCTCTCTGTGGCCCATTACTTAACTCCCCTGGCATTTTCCTTTCCTCCCATGTGTCACAGCTGAGGTGGATACAGTCTGCTTAATTCCCCCCCCCCCTAAAAATTTAACTTAACATTTAATGAATACATAAACTCTTAGCTGGAATTCTATAAATATGTCACTTACCTTGCCATTGCCTGTTCATTTTAAAACACGTAGAGACAGGGAAACTCGTTACACATTGCATTCCGGATGAATTACTTGGCTCCGAGTGAAATTCTTCACAATAAATCTCAAGGTGGATTTGCAGACAATAAAACTCTGTGTTATGTTTTATGGCTGAACAAGTAACTGTTTTGTGCATAAAGGGGAAAATTCATTATGTTGTCAATGCGTGCGCTTGATTTTTTTTCACTAACGCAGCAATCAATCTCTGTAATATTTGCGATATTTGATGACTCTATCCGTTACACTTAAAGAGACGTTTCTTAATTTTTTTCCTTTTAGATGAACCAGATGTCCAATCAGTTCCCATCATGTGTGGAAAACTGAAGAGTGAAAAGATGAGACAATAAGACTCACTGCAAAACTCCTACATGATCTTTCTGTGATTCCTAGAGTTTGGATTTTGGCTCTGCATAATTTACTGCTTGATGAGAAACACAAGATTTGCAGGGGGTCAATGAAAAAGCCAGTAGGACTCACTTTAAAGACAAATAAAAAAAAAGCTATCGAGCAAACCTTATCATGAAACCTCTAAGAACTCGTTTTTACTCCTTATTCCGGACAAAACACTCAGCAAGTCATTAAAAACCAACCAGAATAGATCTCAGCCTTTTTCTCCACATCATGCGTGACGGACACCTGCTGGCCTGAGATCCTGATGTTTTATCGTCATGTTGGAAGCACTTGGGTCCAGAGAGTCCAGCAGAAGTTGTAACTCATCCAAGGTGTGTGGCCCAGTTGTACCAGCCTGGCTTGGTCATCAGGACATTTGAAGGTCGAAGTAAGGGTGCACAGATAAACCGGCCAGCTGACAAGTCGGTCCCAATTTCCTTAATTCTGGGAGACTGGTGATCACGTGAAGCCGATCTTATCCACTTTACCTCATCTGCCTCTACAAAGGTTTAAAAATTAACCTCTGTCTCCCGTGAGAGAGGCCTGGACAGACAGACCCACTCAGCAGCTCATGTCTCCACGTTTGTGGTTAGCGATAGTCGCCCTGCTGTTACTAACTAGACTTTCTTGCTATATTTAGCAACATTTCAGACAAAAAAAAAAAAAAATCAGAATCAGCAGATCGGACTTTTTGAAGATCTGTGATCGGCTAGAAAACTGCCATCGGTGCAGCAAGCTCTTCAAAAGTGTTTGTGGTGGCAAAGTATTCTGTTTTTATTTGAGAAGTGAAAAACAAAACATTCTGTGATATGGTCAATTCAATTGAAATAATTTACCAATAGTAGATGGATATTGGATGATTTTCTTCCCTGGGATAAAAACCCCCAACCTATTCAACTTCTTTACACTTTAGTCGTCTTTTTTGAGAGCAAAGCAGGACTGAAGTCAGATTCCTTGCTTGTGCACAATGTTGGCAAGCAGAGCAGATTCTGCTTCTGAATGCAGGATTTACAAGAGATACTTTCCTTGGATGGAAAAAAGGTCTGTCCCTGTGTGTGTATTCTCATTTAGTTTTTATCGAGTTTGGCCGTGATTTCACACTACATACAAGGGAAGGAGCAGATCAGGCTGATTGTGCCCTCGGATTGGTGGCAGAAACATAGCAGTGTGGGAGCAGATTCTCGCTGGGAAAAGTTTGGTCACATGACAAAATAGCCACAGATGGTTTCTGACTGCACTCTTTTTTTTTGTAGTGTCTTTTTTTTTTGGTAGGTTGTGACAGGATACGACGGTCAAGGAAGCAGGAAGGAAGATAAACGTATAACGAATTCTGTCGTATAGAAAATCTTGTTTCCCTCCAAGTTTTCCAAATTTGATCCTGTAATGTTTGAATTGTCACAATATGAACTTTAACAAACGCATTGTTTTTTGAAAAATTTCTTTACAAAAAGACTCGATTTGCCGCTACTCTTTATCATCAGCAATGCTAACGCAGTGATGGTTTGACTCTGAGCTTAACTATTGTTTTTCCTAAACAGAACACCGAATGAGTCTGCCTGACGTGATCGCAGATGAAGTTGAGGAACCTTCCAGGTTGTTTAACTGCAGATAGTGGCAACAACTGTTTCAGTTTCACCGCCTCTCAAGAATTAGCCAGCACCCCAGGCTGGGATGTGACTCCTGCTGCTCGCCCTGACTGTATAAGCGTTTTCAGACGTTCCCGGCTCTTAATCCGTCTCTAGCTCTGTTCTCTCTGCGCGGTCTGATCAAAAGCGGCTCCTTATTTAAGTTTTCAAACTGTTAATATCACAGGAAGGCACAGACTCATTCTTACTGAAGGCTGCCAGTAGACGAGAGCTTGAATACCTCTATCATTACGCGAAGGTAAATATAAATTTGCAGTCATCAGCCGGCAGTTTTCTTTGGCTTATGAATCCATGTAAAAGCTCCAATGTGTGGTCTTCCACAGGGAGAGCAGAACCTAAGTCAGAGGACAGATTTCATTACAGGCTGAAACTGCTAGTGATAATAACTTTTATTGGTACAACCTGAACAGGAAAGTGCAGCAGATAGACACGGCACCCGACTCTGGGCCTTTGTAAAGTGAAAAGAAAAAAGGTTTTACACACACATTTCGGCATGTTTTTATAGAATTTTATGTGATCGATCGATACAGGGTTTCCCCCAGCAGACGTGCTGACCCAGATGGTAGGGGCGCTGGGACAGTCCACCAGCGGCCTAACATGTTTTCAGAAATTCAGAGGTGCATGAGCAGACATTATAATTTGGAAATAATAGTGCGTGAGTCAACTATAAACCTAATCCGTCTTTACTGTCACTCTTACTGGTGTACAAAAACCCTATTTAAAATAAACACACAGTGCTCAGCCAGGTGGGAATGCAAGGAAAGCCTGGTGACCCGCCAGGCTGATAATACACCGAGGGAAACCTTGAAGTAGCCTGGACTGTTTGGTGCAGTGCAGTGTGAAAGCAAACTGCACCAGCTGTGTGGAACCGAGTCTAGCAGGTCACAGCAACAACAATGTGACGGCTGAGTGTCAATGAACAGTCACATCAACTCTAATTAAACACTTGACAAGAAAACGATATATTGGAAGCTTTTGGGGGGGTTTTTGCTGGAGGTTTCATGGAGAGGAGGGAACGGATCGCCCAAGATGGAGAGCCCCTCACTGACCTTCAATCCCTCACTGACAGACTTAATGGGTTTATTAATGGAGCTGCAGGGCACAGATAGATGGCACTCGCGGCCACTTAAAGCATTTACTCCATATGTGTGAGCCCATCCAGCAATCGCTGTCCTCTCGCTCAAAGAAAAAAAAAAAAAAACAAACAAAAAAGCTCCACAGCTTCTCCCGCTTTCTCGGCCATCGTCTCCGTGGGTCTCTCTGCGCTGATCAGATATCAGCCTGTAAATCTCAAGTAGTTTTAGCTCATTAAAGGGAAATAGCTCTATTTTCAGAGTATGTGACTTTATACTGTAACCCCAAACCACACGCACAGACACAAAGCCTCCCAATGCTCAGTATGGTTTCACTTATGCCTTTATGTTGTGATGGAGGCCATAAAGGAGTGGGGAAGGCTTATGCACATATTATTTATGATAAAAAGGGCAGTATTCATATAAACTTGTACATATTTCAGAGGAGTACTGGGGATTAAATCCACACACTCTCCTACTGTGGGTTTTGACAGTGTTTCTTTTTTTTTTTTCTTTCCCCCCACCGGGCTTTGGGTGTTATTCTAGAGGGCCTGGTCGTCTCGTTTTTCAGCAGCGGAAAGAAACATGGCTGTCCTCGGTTTTGAAGACCTTTCCAGAAACCCGTTCCAGCGTTTCAGCTCCACCATGGTGTTGACAAACAGCAGTAACCACCCTGACCTTCACCGACCAACTTCCCTTGGAGAGCAACCTAAACAAATGTTATTACTCCAGGCTCTATTAATATTCCGATATAAATAGTGAAAAGGCTGATTTGCGTCAGGACTTTGTGAGCTTTTTATGGTGTCGATGGTACTGCAGCTGTCTGGAACAGCTGGAACGCAGAAACTTTAAAGAGGTTAAATGTCAGATTTCTGGAAACGCATTTGAACAGAGAGGCTGAAAGAGTGACAAATTGCTCATGAAAGCTATTCCAAAAGACCTAAAAAGATCACTGAAACGTGGTGGTAGCTACTTACCGTCATTAATCTGAAAACACATTCAAGTAAACAAATGTTTGCTTTCACAAAATGAATTTGAAAGTTTTGGAGTGGCCCAGAACTAAATTTGATAGAAAGTCTGTGGATTGACCAGAAGAACGTTGTGTCCTTTTGTTACAAC